AGGTCAGCCACATCAGCTCTCATAGTTGGTGGACCTGTGCCTTCTGCCTGTTCTGGCTAAATGCCAGAACCCCATACACTGGGGCTAAATGCACAGTGTGCACGCTGACAGATGTATCTCGAGTGTGGCAGATGACAGATCATATGAAGTCACTGAGCACACCTACTAAAAAAATCAGTGCATTACAGTGAAACCAAAAAAAAAAAAGTGCAGGTATAAGCAGGAATTAGGGAACACATCCATACACAGTTAACAGAGTGACAATGCCAGAGCAAAACTTGGAGACAGTTGACACCTCATAACAGCAAGAACAAAGACCAGAAATTATTTTAATGAAGTGCAACATTTTAAAGATTGAAAACAAGTTTTGAAATTACATTACTAAAAAAATTTCATGCAATTTTAGTGATTGAACTTAGATCTACTTTAATAGATGTTTGATAGTTGCTTATCTGAATTTTCTTTTAGAAACCTAGCTTATTTTCAGTCTTATTCTCTGTAAACTACGTTTTCACTGCTTTATACTTTAGACAAAGAACAAAAAGTTTTCTATCTATGTTCCAGGATGGGAAAAACAAGGAACACAATAAAGGCTAAAACAATGTGTGAGTACATCCTTACGATGTTTCTTTTATGCTTGTCTGTTTATTTAGTGGATTTTAATTCATGTTCTGCACCTTGTAACAGAAATTCAGGCAGCGTAATCATAGGGAGTTTTACATTTTACATAAGTCTGGTAAGCTTATGGAGCTACATCTTGGCTGCAGCTTTTGTTATATCTTTTATTTTTTCAAATATTATAGTAGTATATATTGAATATTTCCTATGCGCTACATATTGTAGTATACTTCCTTCAGGGTTTGGTGAAAAAAAAATCTGTTTGTATCTTACTTTTAGACTTAGCTCTCTTTTTATTTTCATTTCAGACTTGGTGTGCCAAAACATGTACAGACCAATCTGGCTTGGCTTGGGTGGTTCAAAACCAAGCTTACTGACTGTAGGAAATAAAAAACAATGGTACAACAATATGCATGTGCAGATACGGCTACATTGGTCATCCTGGCTGTTCTATATTTGAACATACAGTACTTTATACTGATCTTGAGCATGATCTAACTTCCTTCCAACTGCCCATCTGTCGTCATATTCAGTGCTACACCTGATTGTACACATGGATAAAGAGCACACCATGTATTGGTTATAGATCAGCTCTCCAATATTTCATTATTTAAATGACGTATTGGTGACTGAATTTCAAACAACAACCTGGGAATATCAGGAATATATGATAGTGATAGCTTTTCATTTAATAATGGATCACATACAGTATTTACATTACCTATTTGCTACAGAGCTGATAACTATTATACCAATATAACTGTAAAGTAGAATCATAACCTAAGATGTTTGATGGAAATATGCTGACAGAAATCTCTTCTCACAATATGTCAAGTGCCTTAGTATCAAAGCTTTCCTAAAAATGTCAGTTGGGTTCAATTATCTTCTAGAAGCAGATGTTTTTTTTTTTAAATAGAATGTACACCAAAACTAAAAGAACATCTGGCCCTTTAAAACCCCACCATAAGTTGATATTATGGAATAAACAAATGACAGGTAACTCTGAGGTTCAGTAATCATAAAACTCCAAATGTATTTTTTTTGCTCCAGAATTATTCCTTGCATTTTGATAATAAGCTGTGCAATCAGTACAGAAGTTGCAACAAGCCTGTGAGCTCACTAAAATGTGTAAGCTGGCTAATAGCTGACAGCAGAAGATGTTAGGAGGCAAAGGCATAACTAGAACCTTCAGGGTCCCGATGCAAGAAACCATGAAGGGCCCCCCTGACCCCTGGACAGGGCCTTACCCACTGATCCCAGGGCCCTTTACTCCCATCACTGGACCCATTATTATGATCCCACAGCAGGACCCTCTTCCATGTTCTACAGCAGGCCCCCTTCCTGCAGTCTTGGCAAGTGTGGCCTTTGCTACCCAGGTAGTTCTGCCACTTGTGTCAGTAGTTATTACGTTTTTTAAAAAAAATTTATTTAAATTATTTTTTACAAGTTTCTAGGAGCCCCATGGGGGGGGGGGGGGATTTGGTAAGATAGGGGTCTAAACAGACCTCTAATGTTTCACCTTTGAGACAGAGAAAGGAAATTGAGGTCTGTGTTCAGAATGATGGCCCCAGCTGCACAGACTGAATGGACAGGAATAGCTCCTCACAGAGCATCCCATTTGTTCACAAATTGAAGCATAGTAATCACAGTTTACTGTGCCTTAGTCATGAATGAACTGGTAAAGATCACTGACTCCATTCAGAAAAGGAAGGGGTTGGTAATTTACATATTTACCGGTCACTTCCCTGATCTCAATCCTGACGAGGGATGAGGAGGACCAGGAGAGAACACAGGGGCTTGGGTAGCAGTAGGACCTGGATAAGAGGGGTGGTGAGGGAGGCATATAGAGGAACCGCACATTGTACCCATTTTCCAGCACACCATAGATCTTCAATTAAGTCCAAATTATTTTTGTTGAAAAAAGATCACATCACAAACACAGTAGTGCAATGTTTCAGGGCCACGCATGACCCCTTCGTTAGACATCACATGCCTGTGTGTACATGTTTCTCTGTGTGTGTGTGTGTGTGTGTGTGTGTGTGTGTGTGTACATGTCTGTGTGTGTGTGTATGTACATGTCTGTGTGTGTGTACATGTTTCTGTGTGTGTGTGTGTGTGTGTGTGTGTGTGTGTGTATGTACATGTCTGTGTGTATGTACAGGTGTCTCTGTTTGTGTGTGTTTGTTGGGGGAGAATAACTCTTAAGGCCTGGCTAGTAGCTCAGGACTTGAAATTTTAAGCCCTGGTCTAGGCCATGGTAAATATTCAGGCTGGTCATTTGAATCTCCCTCTCTATGATCTGGAAGCTTCTTCTGGGGTGGGGAGAATCAAACTCCCAGCCTGCAAAACAGTGAACTGCTCTCTTGACTACAAAAGAGCTAAAAAAAACTAAATTTACCTAGCATCCTATGCTGTGAGGGTACTACAATGCATAGGATTTAATGCTGTCACAACTCCTCAATATTCTCCTTGTTAAATAATCTGACTGGAGGAAGCAAAGCCCTGCCTCTACCAAGAAGGCTTCCTGTACACAGACACAGAACAAGATGTGGTAAGTCAACAATGAGAAAATGATCAGCTGCAGGGAGAAAACAGAAAATACTGTTGATACCTCTTTTTCCCACCACCTGGCTTTTTTTGTCACTGCTTTCCTGGTTAATTTCACCATTAAAGAATACAGCATGTTCGGCATATTTGATTGCCTTTATTGAAGATTTTTAACTGTTTCGTACAAACAAGAAAAAGGAATGAGGGAGAGGGGGGAACCAAAACAAACAAAAACAAAGTGGAAGAGAGGAAAAAAAAATGTATAGTGAGTAAGAAGCAGAACTTGGTTGTATCCACTAACAATTACAATTATTGGTATATTTTCTAATATATCATGTGTAGCTCAGACCATTATTGGTCTGTTCAAATACAGCACATCCCAGTATAGGACATTATACAGTGAATATATGCAAAAAAAAGGAGATTCAACTTCCATTTTCAACACGTCAGCTAGGTGAAAATGTATTATTTTGCTGAGTGCCATTTTCCTCTGAGGGCAATTATTTCCTACATACAATGTAGTTTTCTTGAAGCATCACTGATGGTGCCACCTCATGCATATTCAACAACTCAGACTTGAGTACAGGGAATTAAAGGGGGCTAAAACTAACTCAAAGTCAGGTGCATACTTTATTTGAATTTACAATACACATTCATTAGCTATTTATAAATACCTGGCTGCAATAACATGTTTTTTTTTTATGGCTGCCTGGGCTTTAGGTTTAAATATACCCTAAAAGCTCATCGTATGACTTAGATTTACAATACCTCTATCAAAAAGCTACATTTTTATGGATCCACTACTGTTTGTACTGTGCAACTTCTGCTGCCACTAAACTTCTATACATTCCTCATTTTTATGCAAGCTACGGTGAGCAGCAAATGGTCTACAGGTATGTGTACCTACAGGTACATTAATAAACATTCATTATAGATGGTAACCCAAATTGCTTAAACTACCAAAACAGCTATATGATTCAATATTACAAAGTGTCTGACAGTCGAGGGTTGTACCGCATGCCTTCTCTTTGGTGTACTATAGAGCATAATTGATATTCCATAGTTACATAGTTAGTCTCGTTGAAAAATGTCCATCTAGTTCAATCATATATTTGAAGAATTTTGGAGGGTTAGTCCTACTATCTTTTGCAATCTGTCGCTCGTTTTGAATTTTTGCTGCCCTGATTTCCTTTTTACATATTTCTTGGAACAATTAAAAGATGATAATGTTCCTTCATTTTTATATTTTTAAATATTCTTTTATTATTATTTATATACCAATATATATATATATATATATATATATATATTGCTGTGCCTCCTTAAGTACAAAAATCCTCTCAAATAATCATATAACCTAGAAATTGCATGAAAGTGCTAATACTATCAATGTGCAAATGCATAAATTACATAAAATCATATCCCCACGTGTCAACATATAAGTCTCATAAATCACATTAATATTGGATTAAAATGCTCTTTCTAAAGTGCATATATAATTTATAAAAAAAAAAAACTTCCATAAATGCATGCAATAATAATGAAATAAAGAATAAGTGTGTTGTTCCAAACTCATGCATAAGTGCATATTCCTCCAACATTCAAAATCCACACTCACCTCCACTCTCATATATGGACTCTCTCCCCCATCTGATAACTCGTTTTAATGATTCAAATGGATCCTTCTATTTAAAAGGAAACTGGCCCTTTAAGCACATCCCCTCTGCCCTATAGCTGATATACTGCTTCAGGGTGGCAGGGGTGCGTAAAATCATGTATTTATAAGTGATTTTGCATTTCCAGGTAGGGGGTACACGCAAGCCAGTGCCCGGGGCCCGAGGATCTTCGACGGGGAGGAGGGCTGCTTTGTTTACTAACAGTCCCCCTCCCTGGTGGCTCGGACACACTGCTCTGGATGGCTGTACAGAGCACAGCACAGCCATCCAGAGCAGTGTGATAACAGTAAAGCACCAACACACCACCCCTAGTAAAACACTCCCAGCACACAGTTAACCCTTTGATGGCCCCTCATGTTAACCCCTTCATGCCCAGTGCCATTAGTACAGTGTCAGTGCATTTTTTTAGCACTGATCACTGTATTGGTGTCACTGGGGATGTCAGTGACACCAAGTCAGTTCCCCCCAGTGTCAGAATGCCCACCACAGTCCCACAGTCCTGCTATAAGTCGCTGATCGCCGCCATTATTAGTAAAAAAAAAAAAAATTCCAGTATCTATACCGCCATTTGTAAACGCTATAACTTTCACGTAAACCAATTAATTTACACGTATTGGGATTTTTTTTTAGCAAAGACATGTAGCAGAATACATTTTGGCCTAAATTTATGAGGAATTTTGATTTTTAAAATTTTTTACTGGACATGTTTAATAGCAAAAAGTCAAAAATGTTTTTTTTTTCAAAATTGTCAGCCTTTTTTTTTATAGTGTAAAAAAATAAAAAGTGCACAGGTGATCAAATACTACCAAAAGAAAGCTCATTTCATAGGGGAAAAAAAGGATGTAAATTTCATTTGGGTGCAGTGTTACATGACCGCAGCGCAATTATCAGTTAAAGTAACGCAGCGCCGTAACGCAAACAATAGCTTGGTCAGGAAGGGGGGTAAATACTCAGGAGGGCAAGTGGTTAATTAGCAGTTTCTGGTCTGTGGTGAAAACTCACACAAGAGAGGGGACTCCCATTGCGTAGTATATAAAGGAATCACATTTATTAAATAAAAAATGCACTTACAAGCTGTTAAAAGCAATTTGTATATCTGTAAGTCATGAAGCTGGCGCTCTTGCATCACTTCCGGTTTCAAGCTCCCTGCCGCCCGGCTTCACCTACACGCATATCGCCCCCCCCGGAAGAAAGGGCCTGTTGAGCAGCCGTGGACAGAGAAATGCAGGGCCGCCATCAGGGGGGGGACGCACCAGTACTCTTGTAGTGGCCCGGACAGCAAGAGAATCGATGTGGGGGAGAGCAGTTGCAGAGCAATGCTCGTGTACATCTCCCTCCAGCAGCTGACAAGCTAGGAAAAGGGGACAGCCTGGAGCATCGAGAGAAGAGGCGGAAATGAAGGAGACCGGAGGAGGTGAGCTGTGTTGTGTTCTGTGGGATCTCCCACTTGTCATCCTGATAGATCGTATGTCACTGCACACCCCCCCTCCCCTTCCTGCTACCTTGGAGGAGGGGTGGGTGTGGGTGTGTGTATGTATCATACTGTGTTGTGTGCAGTCCCATGTGATCTGAGAGAGGGGGGGAGAGAGAGAGGGGGGAGAGAGGGGGAGAGGGGGGGGGGGAAGAGAGAGGGAGGGAGGGGGAGTGGGGGAAGAGAGAGAGTGGGGGGAAGAGAGAGGGAGGAGAGAGGGGGGGGAGAGAGAGGAAGGGAAGAGAGAGGAGGGAGAGAGAAGGAAGAGAGAGGGGGGGCAGAGAAGAGAAAGAGAGGGAACAGGGAGAGAGAGAGAGAGAGAGGAGAGATAGGGAGGAAAGAGATAGGGAGGGAAGAGAGAGGGGGGGAAGAGAGACAGAGAAAAGGGAGAGAGAGAGGGGGAGAGAGAGAGGGGGGTAAGAGAGAAGAGAAAGAGAGGGAATAGGGAGGGAGAGAGAGATAGGGAGGAAAGAGAGATAGGGAGGGGAGAGAGGGGGGGTAGAAAGAGAGAGGGAGGGAGAGAGGGAGAGAGAGATAGAGAGAAATGGAGAGAGAGAATCATATATACTACATACACACACTTATTGAACTCTCTCGCTCTCTCATTGGGGGAGGGGGGACAATTTTGTGTTCCCTAGGGCAGCACAAATTCTAAATACACCACTGATGTAAGTTCCTCAGTAGTGGTAGTTCATCAGGGATGCAAATGTCTATTTATATAGCTGCACAAGGTATATTTCACTAAAGAAACCGGAACTAGCATAATCTTCCCCAAATCCTCTTCAAGAATTGAAGAATTTTTTTGATCATATTCGTTATGTTGAACTGATTCGTTTTCAAGATTCATTTTGCATTTTCGGCATTCTCATACATTCGCTGGTCTGGGTGACTGAAAAATTTGGTAGTTTTTCCAGAAGATTGCTGTATATTCTATATATTATCTAAGTGGACTGATTCATCTTGGATGGATTTGATGATTTCAGATTCTAGTCCAGCCTACCAAGAGAAATGGCATGAGCTGATTAGACAATATCAACTGGCGGCATGTGCATCCGAATTAACAAATGCATCGAAATTCACATCCATTCACTTTACGGATCAGAAATATTGAATAAATTTAAAGTTTGAATTAATTTCCCTATGGGCACAAACCACCATCACATCATGTGATGTCATCCAAATGAAACAAATGCATTTGTTGATTGCATTAGAACTTTTTTCGGATTTGGGGTTATTTTAATAATATTTGTAAAAGTTGGCTCCACAAGGAGCCTAGAAATGAACCGTTGTTCAGCGTCCAAACTTGTTCATAAGTCTTCAGGCTTATAGTATCATTAGGTAAGTTCTTATTTCTTGGGTTTCCACCATAGATCTCATTTCCTATATCTTCACAGTGATGTCATTCTCTTCCTCTTTACTCCTCAAAAATATTAAATAAACCACATATAGTGCATTATCTCTTTCACATAAAATTTTTTTTTTTCAAATCACACTCACATGAAAGTGCTCAAAAAGTGCCAAAACTTCACCTTGCGTCACTGTGTTGTATCAGTAATTCTTACTCTTACCCTTCTAATCAAAATAATTTGCTTTGCAAAAGGAGATCCCCTGACTTCCTCCTTAAACGTTCCTCCTTGTATGTGATATTGACCCTCCAATATGAAATTCATATAGTGTAGTATTACATGTAGTATATAGTGTAGTAAACAAATGGACATCATATTGTGCCACTCCGTGTACCTTAAACCCAAACCAGTGACCTCCAGTCTGTGTGAAACAATGAGGTTACCAACCACCTCACAGCTCATGCACCTTACCAAACTGCATAAGACTAAACCTTGAATAGACAGACTCCTTGCAACAATTCAAACCATCATCGCTCTTGGCAATTCCATCTCAATACAGGTATGTAAATCAAAACAAAATAGACAATCATCGTATAGCAAACCAAACTACTGAATTTAATGAATGTAAAAAGTGCTTACAAGTAAAAAGTAAGGGAATTCCCGTGAGATGGCTGGCGAATAGACATGCGCATACACACAGAAATATGCAATCACTCAAACGCACAGTAAAGATTGGCACCAGACGGACTATTTAAAAGGTGCCTCTGCCTGTGCTGAGTGCTGACTGGTCTTCAGCTGTTCCCCGTTTTCTGCTCTTTCCTGTGTGATTTCCTTGTTGCTGACCCAGCTTGTTCCTGACCTGACTCTGATTACTCTCCTGCTTGATACTGGTTCCTGACTTCGGCTCTGCTCCTGACTTTGGCTTGCTTCTGATTTGGTACCTCGCTGTCTGCCCGTTGATGACCCTGGCTATTCCTTTGACACTGCTCCTGTCTCCTATCCCAGCTTCCTGCCTTGCTCTGGTGCACACCTGGCGACCTACCATACCAGCTTTGCATATTACTACTGTGCCTGAATTGGAGGTTCATCAGTCTTCCAAAGTCTCCAGCCGCAAGAGCTGCAAACAACATCTGCTGGCGCTCTTGTCCCCCTGGTCTCTAGACACCCTCTGTTCCACCTCCAGTGGGGTCAGGGCTAGTGACACAAGTGAGGCCAACCTCATCATTTCAGTCTCCTAACAGGTACGTGACATAAAAAGATGTACATCAGCTTACCCCTTGCTGTCTTCTTCAATTCCTGAATCACGACCTTTCAACCAGACTGGTGCACCGTTGCAAATAGCCACGCTGTCTGATTGGTATACAATTCCTGAAACGGACCTCAACCAAAATGGCCACCGCTGAACTTTCAGCCAGCGTCTGATGTCACCTACTGACGCGTTTTGTCATTACAACTTTGTGAAAGGATGCATCCCACAGACGTATGTCCAGCTCTTAAGCAGTGTCCTCCCTCCTCCTTTCAGATGCAAATCGCCATCTTGCTCATGGGCTATTGTAATAATACCAATGCCGGACTATCCATCACATCTCAAAGCTAACTTAAAACTAATACAATAAAACAATCTATTAAAAATTATTTTATAAAAACTGGACCTTAAAGGAACATCAGTAGTCCTAAAATAAAACCCCAAAAGTGGGATTTATATGAATTATGCAGGTATATATTATACTGACATCTAGTGGTGAATATGTGAATCTCTTCATGAGCATACCTAATCTCTCTGTAGGACAAAGGAATCAGTGAGAGTAGGCATAGCCTGAGGACTTATGATCAAGTTTGGATGCTGAGCAACGGTTCATTTCTGGGCTTCCTGGGGAGGAAGTGATTGCTTGGTGACCAGGGATTGTGTACCATGTACAGAGGTGGACTTACAACTCATTGGGCCCTCGGGCAATAGGGGATCATGGGGCACCTGTGTCCTTGCCCAAACTCAAAAAAGCCTATGAAAAAAAGGTACCAGGGGCATCTCATGGGGCCCCCTACTGACCCCGTGCCCTTGAGGAGTGCCTGAGTTTCCAAATGGTCAGACCGCCCATGACCATGTGGATGTACTTATACAGTAGTTTTACACACATTGCATTTTGTGTAAAAACAATATTTGGGGTTTATTTTGATATTATAGTTCACATAGTTATCCACGAGGAACCTGCTCATACCTCTGTTAACCTGCAAACCCACTTTGTGGAGGCAACTGAAACACTCTGTCATTAATGTTTTAGCATCCTCATCTTGGAAGCTAAACTCTATTCTCCTTCCCTTCCCACTGCCCAGTGATAGAGGTTTTGTTGTCTGCTGAAGCTGTCTTACTGGACAGTGGGATGGTGGTTAGGTACAGCTTAACTCTAAAGAATGGGTAGGGTAGAATTTGTGGAAAAGTTTGACAGGATTCCACATGTGCACTGAAAAGGGTTATTGAGATAATATAGGTACAAGCCATGGTACCTTGTATTTACTTAAGAAACTATCTGAATGAAGATATGAAAATAATGCATTGTTGTATTTATTTAAAAATCACTAGATGTACTAAAAAGTGGTTGTAAGGGCTCAAGGTTTTTATTTTACCTTCATTCATTCATTCTATGCATGGCTGTAAAAAAAAATCTGTGTGTAGCAGCCCCCCAGCCCTTCTAAAATCTAAA